TTCATCTCTTATATTTCACTACTTAATGCTCTCTTTCTGCTCTCTTCTCCGTCTTATCTCTCACCATATCGTTCCGCTCTCTTTCGTCTCTCTAGTATCTTCCGTCACGCTATCACTGCTCTCCTGTATCCTCCGGCGCCACCATCCTCTTTGGTTCTCTCTCTTCTCTCTCTCGTCTCTCCTCTCTCTCATCTCTTTTTCACTCTCGTTCTGCGGGCGCGCTTTCCCTTCTCTCAGCGCGCTCGCTCTTATCTCTCTCTCTCTCCTCGCTGCGTCTCGCTTTACACGTCGCGCAGCTGGCGGACGTATCAGATGTTACTGTACCGACGTTCGGGTCGGCCGCCGATAAACATTCCCGCCGACGAAATTTGCGACGCAAATCGCGTACGGTCGCCGATAAGACGACCGTCTCCGCCCTGGGTCGCTGCTACGACGAACGGCAATGAGGCGGGCGCAGCAGCTACGGGCACACGTCTGGGCGATGACAATCGACATCATCACGGTGAGTAGAATTAGAATAGCGCATTATCAATCGCTGGTTCGCGTTTCGCGTTCAATTTAATATGTGGGGAGATGGAAACAGAATTGATTAGGCTGGCCGCCGCGCGGCGAGCGTGAAAGACGACAAGGGAACCAGCTTAATAGCGCTAACGAGCGAGCGATGGGCAGCGAGTGTTAGCACAGAAAAGGCTGCTTAAGCCGCGCTAATATCCTCGTTTAGCTCGCACTTACCGCGAAATTACGTTCTAATACATCTATATACCGCGTCACTGGTGATCTCAAAATTATATATCGTCGCTGTTCGTCTGTCTATCGTGTCCTACTATATATCCCGTTAACTATAGTCGTCTGAAATTGCAGTTGTTTATATTAGTGTTGATTGCGGGCGTGTTGCAATCATGATGAAATGCGGCAATTTTCGCTCGCCAATTCCCATGCCAACACGCGCAGCGCTGAAGAGCGTAAGCAGCAGTATCGCGGACCACGTGCTCATCCGTCGCTAATCGAACGCGTGCATATCTATTGTTTCCGATACATGGGAAAACAGACAGTGATACTTCGACACGGCTCTTGTTAGCGTTACGCCGGGAGAAATGTTTTGTGGCAATCTGTCAAGCTGGCGTAACAAATATACAGCTTACGTGCGCCGTACATGCCAAAATACAATACGCACTGTTTTCAACTGTTCAGTTGTGCTCAACAAGCCCATAATGAAATTATATTTCATTAGGCGATGCCTGAATGCAGCCATTAGCGCTTAAAGGAAAGTAATCAACAGAAATAAAAACGGCGACGACTTGAGTTACCATGTTCTGCGCCGAGTCGCTTACATTCATTAACCATGATCCCTAGCTGCGGGGGTTCGTCAGCACTCGAAACCGGACGAAAAGTGCGGGTCTTATATAATGCTAGTTTCGTCAGATGTATACAGCCACGGGCACTTGAAGCGTTCAATAAAATATAATGCTAAATAAATACGAAATCTATTTAGCTGACCGAAATCTTAATGTTTTTATACTCTCTTTAAGCCTATTATTGCCGACAGTTTTCCTGTAAATTCCGTCCAAATCCTATGTGCAAACAGACGCTGGAGGCCGCCATTCCTCAACTGCGACTACACTGTGCACACTTACACTTATATATATAGTGCGTCTGTTGCCACATAGATTTGGACGGAATTTACAGGAAACTGTCGGCAATAATGGGTGAAAAAGAGTATAAGAGAACATTAAGAATTGATAGTAATAGATTAGTATTTATTTAGCATTATATTTTATTGAAACGTTTTAAGTGCCTGTGGTATAAGCCACGGCTGCCTACGTCGGCGAAACGTAATCGCGAAGATGAGTCATACACGTTTCGCACCGACATATAGCAAGGAATTTAAAAAACAAGAATGATAGACAGGACGGAACTCTAAAGAAATACTGGCGATTACTATGGCGTATATCGATCATAAATTACGGAGAAATGAAATGTGCTGGAGGCCTAGTTTCAGCCGCGTAAGTGTCATGTGACGGAGATATTCAATTCTATTGTTATATGAGAGGGCGAAGGGTATACCACCCGTAAAATTATACAATGACGCGCACTGAGTCACATTCGTAAAAAAATCGAGTGGCACAATTAAGAAGGATTGCGCGTGGAGTTTGCGCGCCAGAGATTATTAAATTATTTTAGGTAAAAGTTTAGCAGCGTTTCAAGCAATGGTATTGCTCGTATACGGTATGTTAGGGGACGACCGAGCAGCCGTATAAGCTCGCGAGCATTATGCCTTGATGTATAAATGTATACCAATACATATATAATAACGGCGCCGATTATTTACGAAAAAATTATGTCCAGACAAATTAATAAATAATGAAATGTTTCTTTCTCTCTCTCTCTCTCTCTCTCTCTCTCTCTCTCTCTCGCGCTCTCTTTCTCTCTTTCTCTCTCTCTCGCTCTCTCTGTCACTCTCTTGCGCGCGCTTTCTCTCTCTCTCGCGCTCTCTCTCTCTCTCGCTGTGTCTCGCTTACACGTCGCAGCGACGGACGTATCAGATGTTACTGTACCGACGTTCGGGTCGGCCGCCGATAAACATTCCCGCCGACGAAATTTGCGACGCAAATCGCGTACGTCGCCGATAAGACGACCGATCTCGCCCTGGTCGCTACTCGACGAACGGCAATGAGGCGGGCGCAGCAGCTACGGGCACACGTCTGGGCGATGACAATCGACTTCATCGGTGAGTAAGAATTAGAATAGCGCATTATCAATCGCGGTTCGTGTTCGCGTTCAATTTAATATGTGGGGAGATGGAAAACGAATTGATTAGGCTGGCCGCCGCGCGCGAGCGTGAAGACGACAGGGAACCAGCTTAATACGTGCTAACGAGCGAGCGATGGGCAGCGAGTGTTAGCACAGAAAAGGCTGCTTAAGCCCGCTAATACCGCGTTTAGCTCCACTTACCGCGAAATTACGTTCTAATACATTCTATATACGCGTCAACGGGTGATCTCAAAATTATATATCGTCGCGTTCGTCTGTCTATCGTGTCTACTATATATCCCGTTTACTATAGTCGTCTGAAATTGCCAGTTTGTTTATATTGTGTTGATTGCGGGCGTGCTGCAATCATGATGAAATGCCGCAATTTTCGCTCGCCAATTCCCATGCATCCAACACGCGCACGCGTGAAGAGCGTAGCAGCAGTATCGCGGGACACGTGCTCATCTCGTTGCTAATCGAATCGTGCATATCTATTCCGATACATGGGAAAACATCGTGATACTTTCGACACGGTCCTTGTTAGCGTTACGCCGGGAGAAATGTTTTATGCAGTCGTCAAGCTGGCGTAACAATATAGCAGCTTACGTGCGCCGTACATGCCAAATACAATACGCACTGTTTCACTGTTCAGTTGTGCTCAACAAGCCCATAATGAATTATATTTCATTAGGCGATGCCTGAATGCAGCCATTTAGCGCTTAAAGGGAAAGTAATCAACAGAAGATGAAAACGGCGACGTTGAGTTCACATGTTCTGCGCCGAGTCGCTTACATTCATTAAACCATATCCTAGCTGCGGGGGTTCGTCAGCACTCGAACCGGACGAAAGTGCGGGTCTTATATAATCTAGTTTCGTCAGATGTATAAGCCACGGGCACTTGAAGCGTTTCAATAAAATATAATGCTAAATAAATAAGAAATCTATTTACTACCAAATTCTTAATGTTTTTATACTCTCTTTAACCTATTATTGCCGACAGTTTCCTGTAAATTCCGTCCAAATCCTATGTTCAACAGACGCTGGAGGCCGCCATTCCTCACGCGGCTGCACTGTGCACACTTACACTTATATATATAGTGCGTCTGTTGCACATAGGATTTGGACGGAATTTACAGGAAACTGTCGGCAATAATGGGTGAAAAAGAGTATAGAAACATTAAGAATTTGATAGTAAATAGATTTCGTATTTATTTAGCATTATATTTTATTGAAACGTTTTAAGTGCCTGTGGTATAAGCCACGGCTGCCTACGTCGGCGAACGTAATTCGGCGAGATGAGTCATGACACGTTTCGCAACGACATATAGCAGGAATTTAAAAAACAAGAATGATAGACAGGGACGGGAACTCTAAGAAATACTGCGATTACTATGCGTATATGCGATCATAAATTATGGGGAAAATGAAATGTGCTGGAGGCCTAGTTTCAGCCCGTAAGTGTCATGTGACGGAGATATTCAATTCCATTGGTTATATGAGAGGGCGAAGGTATACCATCCGTAAAATTATACATATGAGCGCACTGAGTCACATTCGTAAAAAAATCGAGTGGCACAATTAAGAAGGATTGCGCGTGCATGGAGTTTGCCGCCAGAGATTATTAAATTATTTAAGTGAAAGTTATACAGCGTTTCAAAGCAATGGTATTCTCGTATACGGCATGTTAGGGGACGACCGAGCAGCCGTATAAGCTCGCGAGCATTATGCCTTGATGTATAAATGTATACGCAATACATATATAATAACGGCGCCGATTATTTACGAAAAATATGTCCAGACAAATTAATAAATAATGAAATGTTGAAACCACCTCTCTATAGCGCTTGTCGTTATCTCGAGGCCCCGGATGTAATGTCGACGAATATATATATATATATATATATATATATATATACAAGTTGCTATATTACACGACACTTCAAATTGATTAAAAAAACATACATATAGGCCTACAGCTACTGCTGCCCCCGTGCGTTATACTGTACGTCGATCAATTTTGTCGCGATGTCTATTTGTTATAGGAGACAACTCTGCCGCGCGTCACCGGTATGTATTGCACTCTTGTTACGTGCTGGGCAATCTACCTCCCCTGAGGCACCCGAGGCAAATGCTCTCTACCTGATGAATTGTTTTCGTGAAGTAGTGTTTTCTCGTAGATGGGGGGGGGGCGGAGACGAAACAACGTACAATATGCAGTATGCACAGTCTCAACTGCGAGATGTATAGTTCTATTACGACCACGGGGAGACGGGCCTCGTCCGTTGAAACTAGATGTATACACGTCTTCTAACCACTATGCCAACGAAAAACACGCATTCTATCCCCCATGCATACATTATACTTGTACAACTGTGTCAGTTCCATACACTATACTTCTGAACCTATATTAGTCCCATACCTTGTACTTTTACACATGTGGCAGTTAAAAATCCTATAGTTATACCCCTGTTTCAGTCTCATACCCAATACCTTGACACAGCTTCATGCCCTATATTAGTCACACATCTCATACGTCCAGACCTGTGTTAATTATACACTTCATACCTCGACGACACCTGTGTCATTCCCACACATTCTACCTCCACATCGGTGTCAGCCCCCATGCCTCCTATTTGTACCGCTGTATCAATACAACATTTCATAACTATGTGTATCAGCAAAGCTCCTTATACCCTCAACCGTGTGCGAGTCCAACACATCACAAACATATCATTGTATCAATACAATATCTCACTTGCGTAGCATCAGTCTAACATTTAACATACCTTACATACGTAACATTTTATCCGTTCAACATCTCACATACGTCACACTGTATCAGTCTAACTCATCACACACACATTATTGTATCAGTGCCACATCTCACATGCGTAATATTTTCGACAGCCCAACATCAAACACACGCAACATTGCAACAGCCCAACACCCTATATACACGTAACAATGCATTAACCTAACACCTCACTTGTAACAATCCAACTGCGAGAACGGATCCTAATGTCGCCACGCATTTTCCCCCCTGGTGTCGCAATATAGGTTGTGCGGATATTAAAAAGCAAACACAAAAGCAATTAAGATTGAGGCGCGTTAGCCCATAATTACGACACTGCTGCGGCAGTAGCTGCACCCGCGTGCCGTCGTCGGCAACTCATTGTCAAGCAGCGCGGAAACACTTTTTTCGTTTGCTTCTCGGTTTCCTTTCCCAGTGATCCGCGTTACATAGGCGAACGGTTGGCAACATCGATCATTTGCTTCCTAAAACCCCAAGGTAAAAACTGCTCATGCGAGATTCCGTAGACAAGGACCATCTAAACACGATGGGGAAAACACGAAAGGGAAAACACGATGTACAAAACGCTTCACGCGCACGCCTCTATAGCAGGGAAGTAGAAATCTCGCTGGCGCTTTTAGGGTGCAGGAAAGATATGTAGCTGGCTTCACACTCATGCTTCTAGAAGTGAGGGGGAGATGTAGATAGCTTCAGAGTCTCGCTTCCTTAAAGGAAGCTATAAATCCTATATAGGAGGAAGATATAGCTTCGTGCTCACACTTCTATACGGGGAGTGAGGCTGTAGCCAGCTAGCATCACGCTCACACTTCAGTAAGGGAAGGATTAGCTTTGCATCAACGCTCGCTATAGAACTGTGGTACGCGTAGGTGCGCAATAGTACAGTGCGGTTATACGTAGAACGCTCTAGAGAGAGCAGGAAACCTGCACGGCGTCTGTTATCGCCTCACGTTACAACGCAGGCTTTGCGAGACACCGAGCGTGAAGGGATTACGTCAATGCGTATATAATGGCACAGGGAGCGTTGCGAGCGTTCGCGGACAGAGCGAGTATCCGATTTATAGTACATTTGTTTTTTATCGGCTGCTGCTGATGTGAGGCTCACCAAAAAGCCGACATGTTATAGAGGATGCGAAACAGTCGCGAAAGCACTTCTCCTTATTTTTCATTCTAGTCGTCGGAAATCACTTGCACGATTAACCCGACGTCAAAAGATCTACCGAAACACGAATTGCCGCTGGCGCGTGGCAACGTTGCAAATTAAATTCGTCTTTTATTTTCTACCGATCGGACTAGAAGCAGCCTTCGGGCTGTTAGGTGTCTCCCATGTCGCCAGCACGACTAATTAGACAAATGCGTGCAGGGAGGAGGGTAATATTATAGCTTGTAGGCGGCCACGGGCGGCGTTAGCGCGCGCCTATGTTTCTCGCATAACATCGAACCACAGCGAAATATTCACAGCTGATAATCCATCCTATTATGCATATTGAAGTTGACACCGAGTGAATATTTCAGCAGCAGCGACGGAAATACAGTCGGCACTCCATTAATACGGCGATATTGAAAACGGCGTTCAGGTATATATACACAACTTGTATATAACACACATGCAGGTACATACACTGTTGGATACACAAGAGCGACTCATATGTCGCACAGAAATAAACCCGATACGAGCGCTTTTGACATGACGAGGGATAAAATTTCCGCCAACGTAGCAGTTTTCAAGGGTTAGACGATTAGCACAATTTTAAAGGAATAATTTTTGCGAATCCATTGTCCACGAGTTTGCAGATACAGTCAGCGATTGTAAAGCAGACGAATTGACAAATCTCCAAATCTCTAGCAACGATAAGTTGGTTCATAAATAATTTTGATTCTGACGCATGTATTTTGTAAAGTGTTGGATATTCCCTGTAACGAACATGACATGACATGTACATAAACACGCCTATTGCCTACACACACATAGCCGCGCATACGTGCGTACTTGTGATGTCAATAGTCTTTATAGGTCCAGAAATTTCTATGCGTAATCCGCATTGTGTTGACATAGTTATGGATATAGATGTATTCGGTCCTACTCGACGCATTGTGAGCATTTATTGTACCGTGGCTATCAATTATTACTAATCTAGATCTATCAATTATTGCTGCATCTTTGGCTG